CTAGGGGCATTCCAACAGACACATCTGATGGACTTCAAGAAACATCTTGACCCATGGGGGACCAGCAGTTAGTGTAATGGCTATGTCGCTGGACTCCCATGTAGTCGACTGCGGTTCGAGTCCCGGACCCGGTGGCTTAAACTCACGCCGGGCGTGTGTGCGTGCATGCCCAAGATCCCGAGAGGAGATTGGAGGAGAAGGGATTGCGGCGTGGCCATACCCACTGGGGGGTGAGTTCTCGCTTTCTGTCTCTCTGTCTCTCTCTCTCTCTCTGTCTGGCAAGCGCACGCACCCTATAGCAAAAATCTTTCAAAAAGAAAAAAAAAAAAATCTTGACCCCAATTGGCAAAATTCAGTCCCTGCTCTGCATCTGAAAGGTTCTTTAGCCTTCTCTGGGTGTGGTAGTGCACACCTTATGGAGAGATTCTTTAGCCTTAAGCAGGGCTTCTCTCATTAGAAGATAATGGGATTTTCTCTTAATGGGATTATCACCAAGGGATAGACCTGGCCCAGGATGACTTATAGATTTGTTACCTGCTTATTGTCTGTAACCTAGCAACGAAACCATGAAGTGTCATAAAACATATATGTGTCATGTCTCCTTGTATTATAAAGAGGCCCAGTCTGTCTGGGTGGCTCAAGCAGCGGCTCAACTTGCTTGGGCTACCTAGGTTCAGGCTGCCTGTGTCCATTTCTACTCTATGTCTTTGTCTCATTCTTTCTAATTCCCCAGTCCTCTCAAGACGGAGGGCTTTCTCTTTCTTGTCCTCTTTCTCTTCCTCACCAGCAGCCCCCTGATCATGATTCTGCTAGACCCAAGCCCCAGGGTGGACGCTGACACTCGGGCATTTCCTTGTTTGTTGGCAACTTCATCTCTCCATCCAGGAAGTCCCACCAGAAACCTGGATACTTCTTCACTCCTCCCATTCAGTCAGTCATCAATCCTCTCAACACTAAATGTAAGTTTCCCTTAGATCTGCCTCCTATACTCTATCATACCTGCTGCTACGTTATTCCACATGGGTACTATTATATCTCCCTATGGCTCTCCCTGTCTCCAGTCTGCACCCTCTTCATCATAGCACTCATTGCTAGTATCTTAACTGTTGCTTATTTATATGTCTTTTCAAATGCCAATGACTTCTTTGAACATCAACGTGGTATGTTGTTTCTTTCTGTTCTCAACACTTAGCATAATATTCTGCATGGACTACGTGTTAACGTTTAATACATGGGAAATAACGCCTGGATCAGGATATCCCAAGATGGACATTTCAAGAAGTGAGACAGGTACATCAATAAAATTCCAGCTCACCAACCCTGATCTTGTCGCAGCTAAATCTGTGATGTCATGAAGTCTGAAAGTTGGTTTAAGTTTGTGCTATAAACGCTAATTCCTCCACAACAACCTGATCCCACCTTCCTACTTGTTTAGCTCTCACGTAAGATATTCAATGTCTTCTTTCTCCTTTAGCAAGAGTCACTCATCCCTGCTTTTTATTGCCATGGGTACTTGCATACTTGCATGTTAGGCCTTTCTCTTTATACCTGGGAATAGAACAGGGTAGGAGGGGAGGAAAAGAATCCCCGGGAGAAACCTGGCTGACCCTGCAATCACAGTCAGACTTGAATGTGCCCTTGTGCACTCAGTCAGCTCTTGACCCAAAGCCCAACTTTGTCTCGGCCTGTACTTCCCACTCAAAATTCCCTGTCCCAGGACATTAGCTCACTATCTGCACATTTGAACATCACGACTCTACTTCAGCTATCACAGCAAGAAAATGAAACTGCTGTTTTAGGATCTGGCTGTAGTCTGGGTCACCTGGACTAGGAGGAAGATAGCCTTCCTCATGAAGAAGACTGCGGCTTTCTTCTGAGAAACAATAATAATGGACCTACCAAGTAGAGCCCCTAAGGAAAAATTAGTCCTGATCTGATTGACATAAAGAAAAGGAGGGTCTTCGTAAAGAGAGGAAGCCCTACCAGGACAGCAGTAGATGAGGTTTGGAATGAGTATGAAAAATAGCCCCAGTCTATACTTTATGTAGACCTTAAAACTGCTCTAAAAATCAGAGTCTACTAATTCAAAAAATAAAGAAGGGGTCTGTCCAATGAGGAATTTCTTGTGCTGGAGATGGCCTGAGAATATCAGGGTACTTGTTATCTATCTACACTTTCATTTCCTGCCCTACAGCAAAATCTGCCCAAAAAACAGCTGTGTTAGTAGTACTTTGGAAAATGGAGGAAGAGGAATGATTTCTAGAGTAGGATGAAGCAATGAAAAATGCATTGTGCTCATAAGGGGAAACCAAGAATTTGGTATTGGCAAAAATGAGCAGGGAGAAGGAACCACAAGAATGTACATCTTGTGGAAGTATTAGAACTGTGCCATCCAATCTGCCAGCCACTAACCCACATGACTGTTGGACAGTTAAAATGTGACTGGTTCAAAGAGAAGTGTACTGTCAAGGTAGTATGGAAGAAAAAGAATGTCTAATATCTCAATAAATTTTATATTAATTACATGTTGAATCAGTGTAGATATATAGGGTTAAATAAAATAAATTATGAAAGTTAATTACACTTGTTCCTTTCTATCTTTATTATTACTATTTTAATTGTAGAGGGTGTGTGTGTTCTTACCAGAGAGACACAAAGGAGGGGGAAGCATCCCCTCCCACTCATGGTGCATGGCCATGCCATAATCCCTTCTCCTCCATTTCTCTATCCTGGTGGGATCGGGGACATGCACACCCAGGGTGTTTTTGAAGCTAGCAGGGCCAAGATTTGAACCTTACTCAGCCATGTAGGATTCAGCTCCTTTAATCACTAAGGTTATTTGGATATTCAAATTATACAGGTAGCTTGCATCCTGTATCTATTGGACATTGCTGCTCTAAAATCAGGAAAAGTCATGGGTTTCCTATGGAATAAGATCTGGAACTTAAATCACTTTTTTTTTTCTTTCTTTTTAGCTATTGAAGAAAAGGATGACTCCCCAAAGGTGGGGACATAAGACAGTAGATGCTGACAGATTAAATGTGAGAAAATACAAATTTCAAGAATAGAGGACTCATTTATTTTAGCAACATTTTGTTGAACTGAAAATTCCTACAAATAGAAAGTGCTCTTAAAATAGGGTTAAATTTAAACAAAAATTCAAACTTTTTAGGAACACATTTAGAACATGAAACAAACTATATAACTTTCCAACATAAATAACTGACATTTAGTTTTCAGGTTTAAACTAGAAAAGTGAAAAAGCAAGAAAGCTTTCAGTCCACGGGGACACATGAATGGCTGTTCTAATACCTTGATGTGTGGAACACTGACTGCTCAAATCTGAGACCAACACTTCATATTTTGACAAAAAATATAAATATATACTGGACTGTAGTCATTTGTGGATTGCATGTATTTCATACTGAAATTTGCCTTGAGCTATATCTCGGGAAATTTATGGACCAAAAAAATCAAACAAAATATATTGTTGACTCCAAGTTAGACAACTAGTTGTAACCAGAATATTTTTTTCTTTTTCTCTGACATGCTATCCAAGAAGCTCTAATTCAGTACTTTGGGGGCCTGCATGATATACATACACAATTTTAAAAATATAGAATTTGCCAACTTCAGACCTGGGGGATTTAAATGTCATGTGGTCTAGTCTCTTTATTTTATAGATATGGATTCTGCGCCCTCGAGAGTCAGACTTCAGCAATTTTGACAGAGGACACAGAGTTGCCTAATGGCAATGGGAGGATTTAAGCCACAGGGTCAGCACCCTGGGTGTGACCCTGATGTTTCCTGAAGGTCAATTTGGATAGTCTGAAAATTAGGGTTTATCATACTTAATCATAGGTTTCAGAAGAACTAAGTAATCTCTCTCTCCGAGAAGCACACGGCAGCGTTTGTAACCTATGTTGTGCATGAGCACAGTTGAGAGTAAGCACTCACTAATAGGCTAGTACTCTTCTTCCTGAAGAGTTCATACTCAGTAAAGAAAACACCCTCCTCCGTTTTCGTGTATTCAAGGGCCACAGGTAGCCTAGCATCTACTTAAAAGCCTCCCTGGCCATGGACAGATGATTTAGGATGAAAGTACTGAGTCTCTGTGATCTAAGACAATTAAAATGAAGCCTACTTTCCAGGAATGAGAGCAGATACCCCGTGCAGGGCATGGTGGTGGAAAGCTCTAGTCAGCTCAGAGTCTCACACCTCTTCCATTTCTTCCTATATCCCTCAACAGCATCCTGAGCTACCCAGACATACATGTAACCTATTTCCCAAATAAACACACACACACACACACACACACACACACACACCTCTCTTCTTCCTCTTTTCCCCAGTCAGCCATGCCCCTGGTTCTGGATTAATCGGTCAGCACATTTCATACCAACATATCAACCTTTGTAAATCCCCAAAGGGGGACTATTAAAGGAAATCAGCCTCAAATTGGCAAGTTGTTGGATGGGATGTGCTTTTTTGCATGGGAGCCTCCCAAGTGACCTTGCTTAATTTTCAGTTCTCAATGCACATATGTGTGTACACATGCACACACACACACACACACACACACACACAGAGGACAATGACTTGGTACCCCTATCTTAAAGTTTTCCAGTCTTCCTTTTCCTAGTAGACATAGGGAGAAGGTTATTTTTTGATGGGAGGTCCTCATTTCAGAGGAAGAGAAATATAAAGGACAAAAATACAAAACTGCATTTTTACTGCCCTTCCATAGTTAGCCCCTCCTCCTGGAATCGGAGGCCTCAGGGCACATCCTAAAGACCCTGAGCCACTGGTCTTGCGGGTGTGCCTGGGAGGATTCAATCTCCCCTAGAATCAATCTGAAACCAGAGGTGAATAATTCCAGGGCTTCTGATGACATTCACTTATCATGAGATAGTTGATGTGGGGTTGAGGGGATGGGGTGGAGCCCAAGGCAAGCATTGATTGTGACATGCCACGAAGCCACGAGGTTGGGGGCACCATACCTTTGCAGGTGAAACATTTGATGTGGAAATGTTTGGTCTGGACCCGAAGCACTTCGCCCTTGCAGGGCTCCCCACATTTATGGCAGTGAATGACAGGCTTCTCTGCTGGGTGATGCGGGTCCTGAGGGTGGGCCACTGAAAGACAACAAAAGATCCAGGTCAGTAGAAAGCATCCCTACAAGAGAAGCTGTGATGGGGACTCACAAATATTTTCATAACTTTGGCATCAGATGAGCAATCCCAGCCCCTGTGCCGTCATTATGGAATTATACAGATAATGAAGACAGTTGTGGCTTTAACAGTTCAGTGAGGACGACACTGGCATGTTCCTCTGTTGAGCTTCTGTCCTTTCCTTTCTTTCCAGACTTCTTTAGAACTATATAAGATGGTCATTAAATATATAATCTTCTTTGGATCAATATTTTGAAATATGTATTTGTAATGTGTCTTTATCTTGACTTAGAAAGCACCTTTCTGGACATAGGGTAGCTCAGCAGTAAGCTTGGGAGGCAATCCCACATGGGACCCTTCCCAGGTCAAGTCCAGGGACCTAACTGAGTATGCTGGACATACTTAATTCAGGGCTGGCTGAAGGCTGGATTTAGATTGTGGCATCAGGACCCTGTTGGGGTGCTGTCTGTCTGTTTCTCTCTTGCTCATGAAAGGAATAAACAAACAAGGAAGGAAGGATGGAAGGAAAGAAGGAAGGAAGGAAAGAAAGGAAAGGGAAGAAGGAAGAGTTTATTGTAAGCTGTAGATACACTGAAGATGGGACCATGTCTTAAAGCTCATGTTTTTTCTCCCCAGTTGTACCCTTCCTTCATTCCCCCCAGCTCCTCAGGACATGGCAGCATGTTATGTTCCAAAGCACTTCATAAACATTCATTTACTTATTAATTAGTATGTGTTGGGGGTGTCGGTATGGTGGTTAAGAGTGCTAGAATCCTACAGGGCTGACTGCAGTTTGAGTCTTGGACCTGGTGGCTTGCTTTCTCACTTTTCCTCTGTCTCTCTCTCTGGTCAAATTAAATATTACTAATAAGTAAAGGAAAATAAAAATAATGAAAAAATTAGTATGTATTCAATAGTTTCTAGTTGAAGGGAACTGGACCAGAGGGTCCAGTCCCCCATCACATGATGGGGCTTCCAGGGATTAGCCCACTGTTCAGCCTGTGGCCTTCAGAGGACAGCAGTTATTGTGACTTCTCTGTCCTGAGAATAGGATGTACAACCTCCCCTTCTCAGAGGGCCAAGAGAGAGGATGGTAAGGGAACACCTGAAGCGTTAGTCAAACATCTTCATTTAACTTACAGTTCCTCTGGCTAGAGAATGCAGCTAGGACATTTTTGCTATCAAATAACTTCCTGTTCCTATTGTAGCTTCAGAAGGAAGAACACATGATAAATAAAACTACATTATGTAAGTACCTACCTGAGCATCACATGAGACCAGAGCAATGAACCTTAAACTAACCAACCAACACAAAGAACAAAGGTGATTTTATTTTTCCCCCTCTCAAATGGCCAAATCGTGTTGGGCATGGGGGAGATGTGAGCAGATATCACTGAAACTCAGCTCGGAAAGCACTTTATGGCAAGAAGCTCGCTGTACTCCACAGGTAGAATAGTGCATTGTTTCTCTCAGACCTCTGCACTCTTCTCATTTGTCTGGAAAGAGTTTTCAAAAGACAGTCCAACCAATCCATTACTGGCTAAATTCTGAGAAACAACGTTCCTCTTGTGAGATTTCGACTAGAAGCAGGTGTAGTTTCAGGCTAAACACCTGATCCACATTCTTTGCGATGGACCCCAGGAATGTCCAGCAAAGTCACCAAGGTTGAAATTCACCTGCATTTCCTTATCGACCTGCTGGGATTGCTCTTAAAAATCTGTATTTACAGCAGAACTCAGTATTATCTAAAGGAATTAAGAAGGGGCATGCTATCAAGATCTCTGAACAACACTGACTTTTAATGTGATACGTATTAAGGCCAAAAAATCTATTCACTTGGGCATTAAAAGTTTCCTTTAATAATATCTGCTTTGAGTGCTAGTGGAGAAAATGTGAGTTTTCTTTCTTCTCAAGGTAATTCCTGCTTTCTGTAAGAATGGGGGGAAGTAATACTTACTGGGCACCAACCCAATGGCAGGTGCAGGCAAGGTGCTTTCACATACATCACTTCATTCCGCCCTCACCACCTCTCTCCCTTGGTGAGGTGGGAGCACTGTGCCCACTGATGGGTGAGGAAACAGAGCCTCAGTGAGATTGAGAAGCCTGCCTGCTCAAGTAACAGCAGATGGAGGATCAAGGATGTACATCAGACCGTTTTGACTCCTAAGCTCATGCCCTTTCCGTGCTTTTTGTATAAACCACAAAACTGTTATAAGTCAGGCAACGATAGCCAAGTTCAAGTACAATTTAAAAAGTGTAGGCACCAGCAGATGGCATAATGGTTATAATGGGTACATCGCTGGACTCCCACATAGTCAACCATGGTTTGAGTTCTGGACCCGGCGGCTTAAACTCATGACGAGCGCGTGTATGTAAATGCCCAAAATCCTGAGAGGACAGAGAAGGGACTGTGGCATGGCCACCCCAACCCTGGGGATGATGTTTTGCTCTCTCTCTCTCTCTCTACCTCTCTGGTGAGCACACACAACCTATAGCTAAAATCTCTCTTAAAAAAAAATGTATGGTAAGACAGCTGGTACAGTGCCCAGGCGATAATCCTCAAAATAATTCTGCTGACCTATCAAATCAGTATCCCTCACGCCATGTATTAAAAATGCAGATCTCAGGATCTGCATATGGCATAATGGTTACGTCACTGGACTCCCACATAGTCAGTTCAAGTCCCAGAATCGGTGGCTTCAAACTCACACTGGGTGTATGTGAGTGTGTGCCCAAATTTCAAGAGAATGGAGGAGAAAGGATTGCAGTTTGACCATCCCCCTAAGGTGATTTCTTGTTTTCTGTCTGTCTGTCTCTCTCTGCACCCTATAGCAAAAATCTCTAAAAAAAAACACAAAAAATAAAAAAAAAACAAGCCCCCCAGACTTAGAGTGGGAGCTGAACATCTTCTTATTTAGTATGCTTTTTTTTTTGGAGAGGTTTTTGCTATAGGGCGTGTGCGCTCGCCAGACAGACAGAGAGAGACAGAGAGATAGAAAGCAGGAAATCACCCCCCAGGGGGGATGGCCACGGCGCAATCCCTTCTCCTCCATTCTCCTCTCGGGATCTTGGGCACGCACGCACACGCGCCCGGCGTGAGTTTAAGCCACCGGGTCCGGGACTCGAACCGCAGTCGACTACGTGGGAGTCCAGCGACATAGCCATTATGCTAACTGCTGGTCCCATTTAGTATGCTTTTTAGGTGATCCTTAAGCATACTCCAGTTTAAGAACTATTTCTCTTCAGAATTCAGATAATATGAAAAGTCAGATACAAAAAAGAATTAGAAGTAAAGTAATTCATAAGACCTACCTCTTCAAAAACAGCATTAGAACATAATGAATCTTTTGACTAGGAGGGAGAATGTATTTTTGGATAAGAAACTGTACTGTATTTTCTCTTGACACTAGAATTTCTTACAGCTAAGCAAGCTAGCTATGCTGAGTAATGATGAGAGAAGGAAAATACCTCACTTCTTGGCTTTTCTCTACGTCTGAATAAAGGAGCCAGTGCAAATACTGGCACCGGCCACAAAGGTCAGAATTAGAATCAGCATCCACATTTTGCAAGCACCTCCCTTTGGAAATATATATTACACCCCAAAGTCCTCCCTGCCCAGAGATGACTTCTACTTTTACCCAGTGACGAGCAGAGACCAGATGTGTTTACTTGCCTTTCCTCCATACAACACCCTAGGTAGAAATAGAGCAGAACAGCCAACCCTTTTGTAAAGAAATGAACTTTTCTCATCAGAGAATGGCAGAACCCAAAGATCAAAAGAGACTCATTGTTTATTTCATCCCAACCCAAATCAGTATAAACCAAAGAATCTATCTTTTTTTAAAAGACGACTAAAGAGTTTTATTTTATATAACTGTCTAACAGTTTGGTTATTACCAAATATATCTGTCAGCTCGATTTTACAATTTTGAAAAGTGCTGAGTCCACTGCAATATATACATGATGTTAATTCTGCACCCTCTCAGGTGCTAAGCTGCTCTGTTCTGGTTTTTACTTCAGTGTTCCAGCTTTCAGAATCTGGGTGGTCTCGACTTATTCTACTGACCAGGAAATTGAGGACCAAATGTCTTACATTCCTTGCCCAAAGTTACCAATGAGCAATTGGCATAGGTACATTTAGCACTCAGACATCCCAACACTTTGCACTGGGCCAAGTAATCATTGATTTACCCCAGGACTTTGGCAGGCCTGGTTAAAATCTTCTATGACTAATCAATTTTATTGCCAAAATAAGAATATGGTGAAAAACCAAAGTAAGTTAGAACTTGCTCTGGCCTATCTGAGATATTTGGAATTTCCCACCTAACAAACAGATTTTTTCCCTCCTGAGTCTCCATCTTTCTCGATGGCACCATCACTCCTTTAACCACAAGCCTTTGAAGCGACACAGTGCCTAGTGACTTTCAAAGCCCTTACACCTGCTCTATCGTATTCACTCTTACAGGAGCTCCATGAGGTAGGAAGCACAGGTTTGTCAACCCCATCTTAGACACGGGCAGACTCAGAGAAACAAGTATCTCCAAGGAGACACAGTCAAGAAAGAGAGCTGGGGGAACCAGCAGTTAGCGTAATGGCTATGTCGCTGGACTCCCACATAGTCGACTGTGGTTCGCGTCCCGGACCCGGTGGCTTAAAACTCATGCCAGGCGCGTGTGCGTGCGTGCCCAAGATCCTACAAGGAGAATGGAGGAGAAGGGATTGCGGCATGACCATCCCCCCTGGGGGGTGATTTCTTGCTTCTGTCTCTAATGTCTCTCTCTCTGTCTGGCAAGCGCATGTGCCCTATAGTGAAAATCTCTCCAAAAAAAAAAAAAAAGAAAGAAAGAAAGAGAGCTGGCAGTCGACTACTTCGGTGACTCCTAATCCGGTGTCCTTTCTACCAGAACAGTCCCTATCACTGATGCTTGAAGCCTTAAGCCGTCCTTAACTCTGCCCCGCCTCCT